CTGCTGTGGACAGAACGGGGGACGAGGGGTGGCTGTAGTGCGGCGGCAGGACGAGGTCAGGAGTGTTTAATCTCGAGGGTTTCGTACATCTCCTGGCCCTCACCGCTGAGCCCCTGTGCGGGAGAGGGGGTTACAGGGCGCCTGTCCCCCCCCAGCTGCCACCCTCTGCCACCCCCCCTCCAGACTGTCACCCCACCGCGGCGGCTTCCCACCCAAGATGTGCCCCGGTGGGCTGCGGGCTGTCGTGGGGGGCTGCGCCCAGGGTGGGTGCTCCCAAGGGGGGGCGTGGAGCAGAGGGAACAGGGCATCCCCAAGTTACAGCACCCATGGGATACAGCACCTGCAGGGCAGGGCACCCCCATGGGGTGGGGCACCCACAGAATGGGGCGCCAAGTGGGATGCAGGCACCCCAGGGGACACGGTACCCCACCAGGGACAGCAGCCAAGGGTAGGGCCCCCCCGGGACAGCCCCCCCCCCGGCATGCGTCACCCCCAGGCTGACTTACGGTGTAGATGGCTTCTTCCTTCAGCCCCCTTACTCCCTGGGGAAGCAGGGGTAAGCCATGAGGTTTCCTGGCTTTCTTCCCCCCAAACCAGGACCATCAGAGCCCCCCCAGTTCCTCTTCGCTGTCCCCTTCCACAGCTGCAGCACCGTTGGGGATGGGTGCTGGCTGGGAGGGCCCGTCCCTCCCGGGGGACCCCAGCCCCAAACCTCCCCAGTCCCAGACGTCCTTTGCCGACAGCGCCATTACCTCCTTGCCAGGTCCCTGCCGCGATGCTCGGTGAGCCAGGAACTGCAGGGGGGTGAGGGGGTCACCCAAAAGCAAAAGAAAAAAAGTAAGAAGAGGAAAAAGCCCCAGCCTGGGTGGGGAAGCCCTGGGGCACCCGCTGTAGCCTCCCCGGGGGTCCCCCCCCAAAAAGCGGATTTAATTGGGTCCCTGAGCCAGGGACAGGTGGCCACAGGCCAGATCCTGGCGCTCACCTTGAGGCGGCAATAGAGGACGGTGAGGATGATGCCATAGATGAAGAGGATGGCGTCCAGCACGTAGCACATCTCCGGCTCCATCAGGGCCTCTGGGGAGGATGGAGGGGGGCAGGAGGGGGTCCCAGGGTCAGCATCGCCCCGGGACAGATCCTGCACCTGTCCTGGCCGCCGAGAACTTGGCTCCGCCGCCTCCAAGCATCGCCCCTTTCTGCACGCCAGCAACGGTGGAGGGTCCCGGGGGGTCGCAGGCGGCGCCAACGTCCCCTCAGACAGCGCCAGAGAGCCCCGACACCCCCTGGGACCCTCCCTGGGGTGCCCCTCCGTGCCACGAGCACCCCAGGGGGGCTTCGACGGATCCCGGCTTGTCCCAAAGGCACGAGGACGCCATCAAAGCAGCCAGCCCGAGGGCCATGCGCCCACCCATCCACTCCCCATCCCCGCAGGATCCCCGTCCCCACCTGCCGCCGGGGTCCGCAGCAGCAGCAGGGCGGCAGTGAGCAGTAGGTGGACACCCATCCCTCCGAGCGGGGACCGGCGCGCTGGGGCTATCGCGCCGCAGTCAGTGACTGCGGAGCCAGTGCCTTCCTCCCCGCCGGCTCACGCCACCCCCACTTCGCTTCCCCTCTCCTCCAGCCCCGGCCGCGCTGGGGAACCGGCTGGCGCAGCCGTCCCCACTTCCCGCAAAGGGCAGTGGGGCCGTTGCTCAAGGGCCAGGCGAGCTGTCCCCAAGTGTCACCCGCCCTCCCTGTGCCCCGCCCGCCCCAGCCCGCGTGGTACCCCAGCACCAGGGCCCTGCTCCAGTCACCCAGGGGGCTGTGGGAGCACCCACCAGCCCCGGGCGGATGAAGGCTGTCGGGGAAGGTCTGCAGGCTGTGGGTGCTGGCAGCACCCGAACCCGGGGTGGTGGAGGCGAAACCCCGGAGGTCCCTGCGGGCTCCTCCACCCGGAGACGGCTGCGACCACGGGAAGGGGAAGCTCCCGACCACGAGCCTCACGTGGGAAAGGGAGGAAGAGCAGGGTTTCACCAGGTCTCGGCTAGAGGACAAGGGTTGAGGCAGGGACAGAAGTGCTGGACAGGCAGGACCCGGTTTAGTCTTTATTTGACTCAGATGAGGGGGGTGCAGGGGGGCCGGGGGTCCCCCTGCCCGGAGCAGCACACACAGCAGGAGACGGGCACAGCGGGGCCAGCTGGGGCCGCTGCCTCACCGATCCACTTCCCCAAAGACGATGTCCTGCGTGCCTGGGGGAGGGAGAGAGGGGTCAGGGCATGATCAGCCCCCCAGAACAGGGAAGGAGGCCCCCGATGGCCACGGGAGCCCCCAGCCCAAGGAGGGGACGTACCAATGATGGCCACGACGTCTGCCAGCATGTGGCCCTGCGACATCCGATCCAGACCGGCCTGCAGCAGAGCACAGGGACCCCCATCAAGCTGGAGCCCCCCCCGAGCACCCACCACTCCGGCCCCAGGCCTGCCGAGGCGGGAGGGGGACAGCTCTACCTCCCGGGTTTGCACAATGGCGGAGCAGCGAGTGGGACCCGGCCTGGCTCACCGCTTCCGGAGCGGGTGCCATGCTGGCAGTGGGGCCTGCTCCCCCCTGCGGCTGGGGGCAGGCAGGGGGGGGGGGGGGGGCCCCCCCCCGCCAGCGCAGCCGCAGGGAGGACAGGGGAAGTGGTCAGTTATCAACAGAGAAAGGAAACCAGCTCTAGCGGCAGAGGCACGAGAGGCAAGTCCGGGTCCCAGAGGTACGCCAGGGGACATGCCGGCAGTGGCCCACAGACCCCTGCCCCAGCCCACCATGTTGGGCCCATGCTGGAGTGAGCCCAGCAAGGAGAGAGGGAAAGAAAGCTCGTCCCAGGCTGCGCTTGTCCCCTCCAACCCAAATCCCACCCTCGCCGCAGGCCCCGGCACAGCGATGCTGGCGGCCGCCCCCTTTTCCCCCCGCCCCCCCCAGCCTCTCCTACCAGGTGAGCGAATCCAGGCGCCTTGATCTTGCAGCGGTAGGGGCGGCTGCTGCCGTCCGAGACAAGGTAGACGCCGAATTCACCCTGCAAGGACACGGGGACAGGGTCGGTGATGCGGTGACACTGTTAGGGGGCTGAGGGTCTGCCTCCCAGCAGCAGCATCCATCCCTCAAACACCAGCCCAGTGCAAGAGCAGAGTCCTGGGAACAGGACAGCCCACCCAGCCAGTGACAGGAGCACCGCCATGTCCCCAAGAGGGGTGCAGGGCAACCAGGACACCCTTCACCATGCCAGAGCCCACTGTCCCCATAACGCTGTGAGAAGTGGCACCTTGGGGGCTTCGATGGCCGTGTAGGTGGCTCCGGGGGGCACCTGGTAGCCCTCTGTGTAGAGCTTGAAGTGATGGATCAGGGACTCCATGGAGGTCTGCGGAGAGGAGGGCACTGTCACCAAGGGCGTGCAGCCGGGCGCAAGCAGAAAACGCTGCCCGTCTCCTGCCTGCGCCTCGGCAGCTGGTGACAGGGAGCAAAGTGTGGGAACCGGGGTGGTGGCCACATTCACACAACCACTGCCCATAACGAGCGTGTGGAATGATAAGGCAGGGCAGCTGCCAGGTCTCCTCTGTGCTGGTCTCTGTTCTGCCAGCTCCTGCCTGCACCAGGACGGCTTTTTGGCCAAGCTGGGCCAGGCCTGGCAGAGCTGGGGAAGGGAGATCCCCTCCCACGGTGCGCGGCCAGACTGCCACAGGGCTCAGGAGCAGCTGCAGCAGGCAGCGAACCTGCCCCCAGCACAAAGCCGCCCTCCCTGCCCATGTGATGCCAGACCTGGCAGGGGCAGCACGCAGGAGGGGCAGCCAAGCTGGGGGTCAGACATGGCAACAGATAACACCAGCAAAATCCTCAGCACTTTCGACACACCAAACTGCATTTCCTGCTCACCGGCGCTGACACGTAGCCGGCGGCGAGGCCCAACGTGGGAAAGAAGCGTTTTTACCTTCATCTCTGCCCGCTTCGGAGGGGAGATTTTGGCATCGTCTACTTTGATCTCCCCCTCAGGCATCTTGTTGAGGCACTGGAGGATGATACGGAGGGACTGTCGCATCTCTTCCACACGGCACAGGTATCTGTGGGACCCCAACACCGCTCGGGATCTGCGCCCTGTGTGGCAGGGACACCACGGGGAACCCACAGCCTCACCGCAGGCCAGTGGAGGAGGCGTGACCCTGCCGAGACCTCCCCACGGCCCCCGTCGGAGCCAGCGTGTGATGTACCTGTCATAGCAGTCGCCCCGGGAGCCGATGGGGATGTCAAACTCCACCTGGTCGTAGACGTCGTAGGGCTGGGTCTTGCGCAGATCCCAGTGGATCCCCGAGCCCCGCAGCATCACCCCGCTGGGTGGAGGGAGGTGGGTGAGCAGCCCACCCAGAGCGCTGGCCCCAGCCCCACGCCAGCTCCGGGCCCTCCCCGCACCCCAAAGCAGACCCTGACACAGGGGAAAGCGGCCACACATCCCCTGCCTGCGCACACCCCGCCACCCTGAGCAGTGGCCACAGGAGGATGGCTTGGGGACATCAGGCAGGCAAAGCCAGCCAGCTCACGCCATGCTGCGGCCACCGGGTAGCACTGCCCTGACAGTCACCAGTGTCATCGGTCCCCAAGACGGCTCTGATTGGCACTGGGGACTCCCGCAGTTCGGGCTGAGCTCTTTGGACTCAACCCCAATCCTTCTTGGGAGGGGACAACACAGCAGGGGGGTGGCAGGAGGCTGAGACCCCCCACAAGCATCCCTGGGAGCCACCAGACCCACCTGAACCCATAGTTGAGAGCCTCCTCTGCCGTTATCACCCCGATGTCGACCGTGCGGTTCTTCCAGATGCGGTTGTTCGTGAGCATCTGCAGACAGCAGGGTGTTACTCAGCCGGGTGCCTCTCCCCAACTGTGCACCCCCTTTCCTGACCCGTGTCACCTTGTCACTGCTGCTGCAGGAGGAATAACCCCGCGCTGGTCGTGCCCAGGGGACAGGCAACGCGAGACCCCAGCCCTCAGGGTGCTGGGAAAGAGGGACTGTCCCTCTCTCCCAGGTTTCGAGCAGAAGCCCGGCTGCCATCCCGCCTCACCTCCTCCACCTCATCTATCCGTGTGGAGAAATTCTTCACAAACTCATAGATGTCATCCATCAGCCCCAGGGGCAGGTCCTGCACAGGAGGAGAGGGAGGGCAGCCCGCGCATGGCCAGCGGCACCAGGGATGGGGGCAGGGAGGCACCAGAGGGGCCATCGCGCACACAGGGACACCCCACACATCCCCATCAGAACAGAGGGGCTCTGCAGGGAGCCAGGGCATGGCGTGGCTGCCCTTACCTGGTGCACCCCGCCAGGGCGGATGTAGGCAGCGTGCATCCGCGCCCCCGAGACCCGCTCGTAGAACTCGAACATCTGCGGGGACAGCAGAGATCCCGCTGCATGCTGGCATGGCTCTGCAGACAGCACCGAGCCCCAGATCCCCGCCCGCTGATCCCCTGGTACAGCCACGCTGCCCTTTACCTTCTCCCTCTCCTCAAACATCCAGAAGAAGGGGGTCATGGCCCCGATGTCCAGTGCGTGCGTGGTCACGGCCATGATGTGGTTGAGCAGCCGGGTTATCTCCGCAAAGAGGACTGGGGGCAGAGGGGGCGCAGAGGGGTGAGCACCTCCAGCCTCTCTGGGGAGGGGGAATGGGGTCTGAGCCCCTGGAAAGCTGAGAGCCCTCAGGAGAGCAGGCAGGAGCACCTGCCTCAAAAACGGGAGCTGGAGCCCCCACAGAAACATTTCGGGGACGGGCTCACCTCGGATCCACTGAGCCCTCAGGGGTGGGCGGATGTTGAGCAGCTTCTCTACGGCCAGGGAATAGGCCTGCTCGTTGCACATCATGGAGACGTAGTCCAGACGGTCGAAATAGGGCAGCGCCTGCCGAAAGAAACAGCCTTGAGCGGTGGCTGCTGGCACCCACAGCCAGGCAGCAAAGGCCTGGGACTGCCAGGAGCACTCGAAGGCTTCACCGCAGGCAGAGAGTACCGGGACATGGAGGAGCGCCGGGACATGGCTCCCAGGCACAGCACCTTCCCAGCTCGGGGCGCTTCAAGCACAGCAGCAGCCCTGAAAGCAGCCCCAGGCTGGAGCAGACAGCACTGCCTTAGGATAAGGCGTGAAGACAGACAGATAGACAACGTCCCTCTGCAAGAGTTTCCGGTTCATAGACACTGGGAGGGCCCTAATCCTGCACTCTGAGCAGACGTCAGCTGAGAACCGTCTCCGCTGTGCAGCTGAGCATGGCTGTCATGGCGCTGCCCCGAGCTGCAGCGGCCAGCCAAGGCGGCGCTCCCCCGCTACCCTGGGCTATTTCAAGCTCCGTTTCTCCTGCCAGTGGAAAGGTTAAACCCGATTGGGACAATAAATCAGCACAGTCTGTTTACAAACACTGCTGCAAAATCTGACAGACAAATAAATCCCCTCCCCGCGCGCCGAGGAGGCTGCTGATGTATCTGATCAGACAGCTGTAGACAGGCAGACACCAACAG